ATACAATATAAATCCTTAGTAATGCTCAATACTACTACGTTATACTAGTTTAAATGCAGTACTTATATTGTAATATTGTTTCGTATCATGTCCCTCACTGAAAACGGACAGGACATGTTTCGAAATGTTTGTTAATATGTATATTATAAATTCGATCCGCGATATCATCCATTAAAGAAATTTTCGAATTCTGTGTTACGGAAACATATGTATACCGGGTATTTCAAAGGAGTATTGTTCCCTCGCTGCTCAGCTGTCTAATTCATAACATTTAAATCCGGTTTTCATTCATTATTTTGTTTTTCATTTTGTTTGCACTGCCAAACATCGTAGCTATACAGTATCTACGTTACATAAAAAAATTAAAATTAAGTTGGCGACATCTGGGTTTTGGGTTTTGTGTGTTTTCCACCGCCTCGTTGTTCGAACTAGTTGTGGCTTAGTTTCATCGAGACATCGTTAATCTGGATTTTCGGTTCTTGACCCTGACGGCCCAGATGACGACGACAACAACAACTTATCTCGTTCACTGACATGAATTCCACGGACTCGAGCGAAAGTGTCAGCGTTTGACACGACTCTGACAGCACATTATAAAAGTTGAACCAAGCAATAAAATAATTGAAAATTATATGCGCAATTAAAAGAGGACAAGGTGCTAAAAAAGATGTTTTAAAAAACGGGACGGAAATCTGAGATCGGCGCTTTCGAAAAATTGACGTTAATTAATGTTGACAATGCGGCAGGAGAAAACTAAATGAAGGAAGAAAAAAATTCACATTTCAGGTGTACTTTCTAATGGTATTCTGTCTTCTATTAATTACTATAGTTGCAGAAAAAGATCTTGAATTGATAGTAACTTACGATATCCTAAAATGTATGCTAAATTTCGGCTATCTCAGCCAGATGCCAGAGGAGAAACTCACAAGAAATACTCTGTTCACAAAGCCACCTACAGATAGGTTATGAATGAATGAAAGCTAGGCGAATCGAATATATTCGGTACTTTGCCTTAGTGTGCTTTGCGATCAACTTGGTAAACCTTGCTCTGTTGGGAGGGGGGATATGCACCTTCGGAAAATGGTCCTTAAACTTGGCTAATGAATAAGTCAGGAGATGACTTCTAATGGAGAGCTGCATTATGGAATGAAAATTAGTTAAGAAATATTTTAAAGTGGTTAATAAGTTATTGGATGAAATATTAGTTGATGACCATCAATAAGAATTCCGAAGGCGTCGTGTCACCACTCACTGAGGGCATCCCTCATACGGATATTGACGCTGTATTATTTATCGGAAAGAAAGAAAGATAGAAAGAAAGATAGATAGATAGAAAGAAAGAAAGGAAAGAACGGACAGCCAGATAGAAAGGATAGGAAGAAAGAATAATAGAACGGACAGCCAGGGACAAAATTTTCTAGCCATTAGTCTCGCCTATTGGCGTGGTGTACCAACAGTAATCCGTTGGCAGCATTCCTTTTTCCCTGATCGGATCGTGCCCACCTTTCGTGCCTGATTGATAGATAGGATCAGGTTTCATGCTGCCGGTAAATTTTGCCATTTTTATCCATTGCTCTTGGAATATTATGAAGATTAAAATGGCTGTATGTAAATAATTCTACTGCCGTTTGCAATTGTGGCGGTATCTGCACATACACTACAACTTGATCTGCTCTTCTTAAGACGTGGAAAACGGTTATTTACCAAGTGTTCTACACACTGGCTCCACGTATTGTCGGTGGCACTTCGCTGCCCAGTGTTGTACAATGTTTCCACCAGCGTGGTCGATGAGATCAGGATTACCACCTTTACTGCCGGGAAAATCTCGTCATTGCTGCACATGTAACTCATAAAATTTAAGACGACATAAACGGTTGTTGGTAAATCAGTTTAACGCTAGACCTCGAGCATCGCGTCAAGGTAAAATGCCGTCCATGGGGCAGTAGTTGGCACATACTTCCAATCAGTTGATGGGAGTGGAATAGGGAGGTGAAGCTTTGTCTCTGAAGATCTGAACTTTATCATGTTCAGCGAGTGCACCGTCCAGCCAGATTTGAGTAGTTGAGTGCTTTCGCAGACCTGTCAAATATTTAGGCTAAGAAAAGAATAGCTCTTTCCAGTACATCCGTCTGTAGCTTTCCTATATCAGGTGTGTGTTGTTGTATGGCATGAAAACAGTTGTTCTAGCGAAGGATCAAGAGTGTTGGTTGAACTGCAATCAGCAACATTACCTTCACATCATACAGGTAAAATGATGCGACCATGTGGTTAATAACTTCTCTTCCAAGCACGTGACTTCAGTGGACGTGGACAGTAAGAAAATGAGGTTTGTTCTGTTAGACTTATAGTGGTCAGCTCGAGCCCATCAGCTTCTTTCGTTTGACCAGAATCATTGCAGACGTCGTCCAGGAGGCCAGTATGCAGCGAAAAAGAACACGGTAGATGCAGATCTGCTTTTGAAGACGATATTTCTTTCAATATTACAGTAAGCGGTGCCTTATGGGAAGAGTACTGAAAAGTTGTATCACAAATCGTAGACGTTCTGCTTATG